ATGTTAAAAAAAAAGTGGTAATGGCTACAATGAGACTACATAATTTTATCAGAATTTCGAATTATTTTGACGAAGATTTTGTTGAAGTGATGGGAGATACAAATATCAACAACGTAAATTCTGAGAATGATCTAGATGACATGGAGAGTGGTGGTATACCTGATGGAAATCATATGGCAAATATAAGAGAAAATATTGCAGATATGTTATGGGCAAATCAAAATACTTTTCATTAAATTTAATTTGTTTTTTCTTATGTGTTGTCTTTTTTTTCACCGTTATGTGTTGTATTTGGATATTTTATGATTAATATTTTAAATTATTTAATAGATTAATATATTTTAGTTTTATATGATTTTATTTATACATAGCATAATATATTATAACATTATATAAAATAAAATAAAAAATAAACTAAAAATAAAACTGTATTTTATATATTTATTTTTTTAATAAAGTTTATAACAATATGTAGTTCTTAATAAATTTTTAGTTATATTGTGTACTATTTATTATTTAATAATTTGATCTGCACATGTTGAACAACTTTCACCATTCGAACTCATATTTGAACTGCCTGATCTGCATGATCTGCACTTGTCCTACATGTTCTGCATGTTCTGCACTTGTCCTGCATCTTCTGCAAGATCTGCAACGCTTGAACTACTTTTACCATTCGAAGCCTCAGTCTTCCTTTCATTCCGCTACCGATTAATTTTGTTTATTCCTCTCATTCTGCTGTCGTTTATTTTACATACTCAATCTCCTCTTCCTCTTCGAATCTCAGCTTTAATCTCTTCTTCTTCGAAATTTGCAGACATAATCCAAACATATATATATATATATATATATATATATATATATGTTTTTTTTCAATTTCTTATTTTATGAGTCAATTTTTTAAAAGGAATTCTAAGTTAAACATAATTTATTTTATAATTTTCATATAACATATAGGAGAAAACATAAGAAAACGTTTTTAACATTCTTAGAACGTAAGGTGAAGATAAGACAACATATTATAATTTCCGTATAACATAGTTTAAAGTATAGTATATCTATTTCAAATATTGTAGAAATTGAAATTTAAAATATTGTAAATCATAAATAATTTCTATTTTTCGTAGTCCATGCAAAATGTATAAAATATATAATCTAAATTTTGCGGAACATATTAAGTGTATAAAATATGTAATTTAAACTTTAGAAAGTGTGTTATGTTTATCGAGTTTTATCTGGAATAATTGACATTATATATTCTTTTTTTTTTTTTTTTTTTTGAAAGACATTTTATATTCTTAAATGCATATATTAACAATATTTTGTTTGCTACACATTTTTCCTTCTTCTTAACTTCTCAAAGCAAATGTAAAATTTATCAAACTGTTGCTTACCATTAGCTTGAGGAATGGTGACAACCTCTGTGTGAGTATCCTTATTAGACGTTTTAAGCTCACCCTCATAATCCCAGAGCTTTGCAAACTGTTGCTTTGTGTTTCTATCACCAAATCAAACGCTATTCTTCTTGCTTTTTGACAGATCCACTTAGAAACTGATATCGTGTACCTCATCATAATCTCATCCTTAATGTCAGTCCATCTCAAAGTCGGCCTCCTTCTTGCTTCATCTCTGAATAGTCTAGCTATTACACCCTGCTTCAACATCCTAGCTTTACCACTGACAGCATGTGCATGAGCATCAACATATGTTTTCACCACCCACTTCTTTACCCGCTTATCCACAGAACAATAAATCTTTCAATTGAAAAGCTGGATATAGCCATGAGCTATGTTTGACTCCATTTACACAACTTCACATCATAGTTTGTCTTCATTGTTGAACTGTTGCTTCATTGTTGAACTCCTCTCCATTGTTGAACTGTTGCTTCATCCACAGGTAAGGTGGCCTATCCTTTGCGTATTTTGCTCTTGATATCTCGGAAAAATGGATTAAAAAACCCTCACATTTTCTAAAAACATGTAAAAAACCCTCACCTTTTTTTGTGGGTTTTAAACCCTCACCTTTTTTTGTGGGTTTTAAACCCTCGCCTTTTTATAAATGGTCAAATAAACCCTAATATTAATAAACTCATTAAAACAGTAAGAAACAAAAAAGTTTAATTTATGATTTTATTTTTCAAATTCGAGTTTACGATTTTATTTTTTTAAAATTAGGATTTTTGCACTACAAAAATTCATTCAACATTTAGTTGAGATTAGGCAAATCATTTTTATTATCATTAGAAGTTATGTTATAATAACTACAAAAATTTAAAGGATATCACATTTGATTTTTTTTTCGAGTGTTCAGGTTTTGAATAAAAATATAGTTAAATAATGATTAATTAAATATAATTTATATTATATTTTAATATATCGTAAAATAAATAAATAAATATATATATATATATATATTAACTGTAAGTAAATCTTATTTAGTTGGTCCAATGAAAATATTTTGATTTGGAAATTCATGTACTTGTCGTAGTATTATTAAATTTGATTTGGTTTCACGTTAGTAAATTTGTGTGATCGAACCGAATAAACCTTTATTAATATATACTCATATTCGGTTCGATATAAGAATTTACATATAATTAATTCGTAACAAAATCTGTTTGGTTTCACGTTGATGGATTTTTGTAACACAAACGAGTAAAACTTCACTCTTTTTTACATCATGACTTAAAAAATTTCAATTTCGAAAAAGATTTTAAACTAGAATCTTAGAAGAAAAACCCTAAATCAAATTGTTTATATTTATTTATGTTTTAAGATAATTATTTATTTGAATTTAAATTAACTTTATTAACACTAGGGTTTATTCTACCATTTATGAAAAGGTGAGAGTTTAAAAACCCACAAAAAAAGTTGAGGGTTTTTTATCTGTTTTTAAGAAAGGTGGGGGTTTTTCTACCCATTTTTCCTGATATCTCTCTTTCTTCACGGTCAAAGGCATCCCATTCTTCATCTGTATCCATGGCAGGGTCAGGTCGCTCAACATCCATGCATTACCTTTCAAACTCTTCTTCATCTTCTTTAGTTTGGCCCGCAGCTTCTCCTTCAGTTTGATCCCCAGCCTGGTGGGTATCATGACCAGCTTCTGCTTCTGTATCTTGGTGAGTTTCCTCACCAACTTCTGCATTTGGATCTTGGTGAGTTTCTTGACCAACTTCTGCATTTATTTCTTCATAGAAGGCACTAAACCGAGGATCAACAGCACTGTCCCTAACTTCTTCTACTGGATCAACTCCATCATCTTGTACTCTTGCTTCCTCAGCAGTTCTATCTTCTTCAACCTCTACATCGGACTCCTCATTGTCTTCAACACCAACAGGTTCAGCAGGGTGAGACAGATCAAAAGGTGTAGGTTCAGTGCACAATTGCCTAATCCCACTATCTCTGTCTTCGGGGATAGCTCTCACTAATTCCAAGTCTTCATGTGCAAGTTTATACCACACTTTTTCCACCGGAGCAGATACTCCATTCTCTTTAGGGAAATCTTCGAAAATCGACCATGTCATCAAATCTGGATCCATCAGCATATCTCTCATCTCGAATCCTCCATTGTATGCGAACGACTCATCCTTAAAGGAGACATCTCCTCCGAACTTTATATTGAGTTTCAGACAGTCGAATCCACTGCAAAGAGATAGATTAAGTTAAAAACCTACTCGAATTCCCCAATAACCCCAAAAATCGAAACCCAGAAAATCACGAACCCTAAAGAACTTAATCGATTACATACCTCATCACGACGCGACTAAGCAGACTCCGCCGAACTCAAATACGAGCCAAACCTCAAGCTATCAAACGCCCAGACACATCAATTCTCTCGATTTCACAAAACAAGAGATTAGGGTTTCGAAGAGATTAGGGTTTCGAAGAGAGAAATCGATTTGTGGGAAATGTGAAAGGGCAACAGTGTCTTTAGGTAAGAGAATTAACCCACGTGAGGTTAAGATTTAACCCCAGTTAACGATTCCGTTAGCAAAGTTAACGACTGTTAACTCGCAGGTACCAAATCACCAAGTTTTATAAAACCATGATTTTACAAGACAACAAAAAATAAAGAAGGAATTTTTATTCCAATTTTAAAAGTACAGGTATTAAACGGCCAAATAAAAATAGATGGCGGTTTTTTCCCTTATTTGTAGCATGATAAAATTTTCAAGTACCTGAACAAAAAATAAAAATTGGAGAAAGAAGTTTTCAAAATATTTGTTTTTAATCCATATATGCATTATAGGGTAAAGATTGGTGACATATGATTTCTTATAATTGAATCCTATTGTACCCTCAGTTTCCTAAACCAATTTAATTTCTCAACATTTTTTTTTCTTGCTCATTCAGTCTTCCTCTCATTCCGCTACCGATTATTTTTCTTTATTCCTCTCATTCTGCTGTCGTTTATTTTGCATCCTCAATCTCCTCTTCCTCTTCGAATCTCAGCTTTAATCTCTTCTTCTTCGAAATTTGCAGACATAATCCAAACATATATATATATATATATATATATATATGTTTTTTTTCAATTTCTTATTTTATGAGTCAATTTTTTAAAAGGAATTCTAAGTTAAACATAATTTATTTTCTAATTTTCATATAACATAGGCGAAAATATAAGAAAACGTTTTTAACATTCTTAGATCGTAAGGTGAAGATAAGACAACATATTCTAATTTCCGTATAACATAGTTTAAAGTATAGTATATCTATTTTAAATATCGTAGAAATTGAAATTTTAAATATTGTAAATCATAAATAATTTCTATTTTTCGTAGTCATGCAAAATGTATAAAATATATAATCTAAATTTTGTAGAACATATTAAGTGTATAAAATATGTAATTTAAACTTTAGAAAGTGTGTTATGTTTATCGAATTTTATCTGGAATAATTGACATTTTATATTCTAAAATGCATATATTAACAATATTTTGTTAAAAATTTCTTTATTTCCAATTTTCTAAAAAAAAAAATTAGAAGAACAGTGAATCTCATAAAGTAAGAAATAACACGTGGAGCATAACCCATCCACGTGGATTCTAAAACACAGCATCAATAAAACTCTTGTTCCAATTTGTATCGTAGACCTCAGAAGAGGTCAGCTTCAATTTTGACTCTCCTCCAAAACAGAGAGACAAATTAAGCCAAGCGTCATTGTTCTAGTCCACTACCACGTTTAAGCTCGACGCATAGAGAAGAAGAAGAAGAAGAAGAAGAAGGATCCTTCAAGGCTCTCCTTCGTCTTCTTCAACTACTAGAAAACGAACTTCATTTTCGATTCAATTGCATTGCGTTAGCGAAATTCTGGTGTTTCGATTTGATCAGATCTTCGATTTTTCAGAATCGAAGAATTTTAATCGGATGGAGATGGTTTTGGAGGAGAAAGATGCATCTGATTGGATTTATAGAGGAGAAGGTGGTGCTAATCTCGTTCTTGCTTACGCTGGATCTTCTCCGCTTTTTGTTAGTTCTTCTTCGATCTCTCTTCCTTTGGAATCCTGTTAATGTTAAAGCAATTTTGATGAATTTTGATTTCGTAGTGGAAAAAGTAGTTCAGATTCTAGCCGTCATCGACTTTTTTGCTTTATGAGTTTCGTTTAGATTCCTCTAGTTGGAAACTTGGATATAGATTCTGTTTTAGTGGCTCTCTTTTTCTATGAAGAATCAGAATCAGAATCAAAGTATATCTTGTACAAATTCTTATATTCTCAGATTGATTAGTGTAAAGAACTATACAATGTCTTTATAGTAAAATGTTTTGTACAGGATTGAATTTGGTTTGTTTAAGTTTGATTATGATTGTCACTTTGTTGTGGACCAATCTTTTATATTATCTCTGTACTTTGATTAGGTGGGGAAAGTGATTCGTATACAGAAGGCTCGGAGGAATGATAAAGCACATATGACTGCGAATGGCGTTGTTTCGGTTTTAACAAGCGATGAGCAACTTCTGTGGAGGGAAAACAAGGAGCTTATTTCATCACCGAACAAGGAAGTTCTTGAACAGAGATATGTTAAGCATGTGATTATTCCACTCTTGGGTCCTAAACATGTTGATGCAGGAGTAAGTTTTATTATCAAATGGTATTTGTTGGTTTAGTTTGGATACCAATGGATTCTTGGTAAGCTGATGAGTGAAGTAATGTGGTTTTTTTTTTTTTCCTTTTTTCGCAGGTACGTGTTTCTGTGTCCAAGGAATTTCTTGAGTGTGTTGATAAGAAAGTTACTAAGCAGCGTCCGCTATGGCGTGTTAATGCAGCACATGTTGATACCAGTCATGATTCTGCCCTTATTTTGAATGATCATTCACTTTTCTCTCATGGTAAACATTATTATAAGAAATCGGATATCTCAAGAGAATCGTATTTGCGTTCAGTTTATTTATTCTTAAATTAGTCGTAACAATCTGGTGTTATCTGTGCCAGGTATTTTTAGCATTGGTGATTGCATTAGTGTTGAAATAAAGGTTTGATAAATCCTCTATTTTTATTTTTATTTTTTTTCTATTCACTTAGTCCTTGTAATTCTCATCTTTGACCTAAACTCGCTGTCCTTCATTCCATGAAGTAGCCCAAATGCGGATTTCTTCCAACCTCAAGGTTCATAGGTAAAGAAAACATGCTGAAAACAAGCGTAAGCCGTTTCAAAATGCATCAACTCTTAAAGTTGGAATATAACGAGGTACAAGCAAATCATTGGTACTTTAAAATCTTAATGGAACTTTCTTTTGTGGAAAAGGTCTATAGATTGTGATTTACCGAAAAGTCTTATAAGTATGTCACTTTTCTACAGATATCTGAAGAAAGTGAATATGATCCTCTTGATCTGTTCTCTGGATCCAAAGAGAGAGTTTTAGAAGCTATAAAAGCCTTATATTCTACTCCCCAAAACAATTTCCGTGTATTCTTGAATGGTTCTCTCATATTAGGGGGTTCAGGTGAAAGCACAGGGAGAACCAGCCCCGAGATCGGGTATGCCTTTGAGGATACTCTCAAAGGCTTCATTCAATCAGAAGACGGTCATAGGACTAAATACTTTCTACAGCTAGTATCTGACGCTGTCTATAGCTCAGGAGTGCTCGATAGACTTCTTGAAATTCAGAAGCTAGACAAATTAGACATTGAAGGAGCGATTCATTCTTATTACGATATTATCAACCAGCCTTGTGCTATATGTAAAGAGAGTGGGCCACTGGAAGCATACTCATCTCTACATACTTTACCGTTAGATGAAAGTTTAAAGATCGTGAAGGACTATCTGGTAGCTGCAACTGCTAAAGACTGTAGTATTATGATCAGTTTTCAATCAAGGAATGCTTGGGATTCAGAACCTTCTTGTGATTACGTCTCTCTAAAACCGACCAGTCAAACTTTTGATTACAAGGTATGATCCATTTTAACACATTCTTGTCATTTATGGTGAAAGAACTGTGGGATGTGGAATGTTTGATTACGTTTCTCTATCATTCGTTCAAGTCTTGAAAGTGAAATGTGGGAATCATGGATCAATAGTCATTGTAAGAACAGAAATTTCATTAGAAAACTGGTTGAGTTCTCAGGAACCATATAATCGGGTTTTTTTTTTTTGATATTTAGATTTATATAACTGTAGGTACATTTCATTGATCTTAGCCTGAAACCACTAAAGAGAATGGAGGCATACTACAAACTGGATAAGAAGGTAATTAGCTTCTACAATCGGAAGCAGAAGCTCGAAAACATGGCAGAACAAATCGGCGACTCAAAACCTTCGCACAACTAAGTCATGGATCGTCTCAATACCACTAGCTGTTTTCTTTTTCCTTTGTTTTTTTTTGTGTTACTGTTGTTGTAAAACACAATAAATAAAGCCCTAAAAGATGAATGTTCATTTCTTAAACTTAAAATTGATTGGAACTATATCTCCTTCTCTCGCCGAGGGCAGAGACATTTGTAGACCAGCATGGAGCCGTTGCCTGGAGATGTTTTACTGGTCCAGAATGCTCTCCGTCAAGTTTTGCCAGATTGCTTGCACATACAAAGATGGTGGAGCTTAGTCACTGTTACTCGTATTCTAAGGAAAATGTTGTTGTGAGCGGTTTTCCGGTCTATTGTCTCTCGATTCGTGTCACGGTTGGAACTGATATTCTTAGTTTGACGTTGCCGTCGATACAGCAAACGGTGCAACTGTCTAAATGGCTTTTTCTTTGTGCTGGAGCTCAGCTATGTGTCTTCTTAGCTTTTATCTCTCCGCTTTAAATCTTTTCATTGGTTTGCACTTTGTTATTTTGAGCTCTAATTTGTTTGATTTTGGCTCATTTGTTTTTTCATAACTTTGTATATTTAAGACGTCAAAAAATGGAAAATAAAAAATTTGTAGCAGCTAATTAAATTGACATTATTCTATAACAAATATATTTAATCCATAACAAAAAATTAGGAAAATACAAGTTATATCATATATGTACGTTCACAAAATTCGGTTGACTATCAATTTGATCTAAGTACACTAGAAAAACTTAATTTTCTTTTATATCATATTTACTAAACAAATGAATGTATAAGTAGAACGAATTAAATTTGTTAAATATAAAATATTTTGCGAGAACACCGTTAAAAAGGTGAAACCGGGAGAAGAGTTGTTGGTTAGACGATCAAAGATCCGGTGAGAAGTGTTTTGGAGCGGAGATGAGAACGACTTCGAGAGTATATGTGTGAACTACAGTCAGATCGGTGCCAAGAAATTTTGATGTAATTGGCGCAAAATTTATGGTTTAATATTTAAATAAACATAACAGAAATATTTCAATATGTAAAATTTTTATAATAAATATGCAAATTTAAGAAAAACTTATAAAATAGTTTTTCAACAAAAAAATTTACAAAAACAAATAATATATTATATATAGAAATTAGGTTGGTTATAACATATAGCCTAATAATTTAGGGTAGTGTAGTTATTGTATCACCATCCAGACGTTGTAATGTACTAGGTCGAAACCCGCGTTCCGCCGCGGGATATTTTTAAATAATTTTTTTCCTAATTTTGAAGAAATTTAAAATTTAAAATTTGAGAAATGATTTTAATAAAATATTTTAAATACTTAATATTTAAAATACTTGGAGGCAAAAAAGGAACCAAATCAATTTGGAATGTTAAACCGAGACTAAACCGTAAATCAATTTTAGTATTCGGATAAAATTTGTATCCCGAAAAAGTCAAGAAACGATCAATTTTTTCTGGGAAAAAGGAGAGAGATAGATTAGATAAATACAAGTTAAACAGATAGAAAAAAAAGAAAGACCTTTGCTTTCATATCTGAAAGACTCTCACTAATGGCAGCCACCGTGAGACGATTGTTTCACTGTGTGTCTAAAAGAGTTTCTATCGCGGGAGTACGGCGGAGCTATGGCGGTGTTCTGTTTGTAGTCATATTACCACCACTTCTTCCGCTTTAAGGTCTTTCATCATCACTTGATTGGAGCTTCAAAATCACATCAAACCAGATTAGCAACTTAATGTAGAGTTTGTTTTAGAGAGAACAAAATATTAACAAAAAAGAATCTAGCCTTTCAAAGAAAAGGATTCGAGGCGAATAATCATTGCGTTGCAGATGTCAAGAAAACACTACACTTAACACTTCTTACCTCAAAATCCACATTATCAACATTATGGTATTGGCCCCTTCCCCCCCTCAAATTTTAAATTATTTGCAAACTCTCACTCAGCTTTACTTCTCTCTCTATGCTTCTAAACTTGCTATTAACGTTCACACTTCCGATGGATCGTTTATTCTGACACGGACCCTCTCCAAGACTATTGTGATTTCACCAATTTCGATTTCCTTAGCCTTGTAAACTGGTCTCCAAGACCAAAACCAAACATGCAACTTGAATTCCGAAGACGAAATAACCTAATACAACAGATGCATTCATATAACATACACTAATCACTCAATTCTGATTTCTTGGACTATGACTTAAGAATCTAAGAATCCCAATTTACTAAATCAACAAAACTGTATGTCTGTATATTTACAATTATAAGAATCATCAGACAATCGATATTTATGGACAAATCTCTGAATACAAAACATTGATCAATACACGAATCAATACAAAACACATAATTCCAATGACAGAGCATCACACACATCAATACAACAAACTAAATGATAAGCCGCCAAATAAACTATAAGATAAATCAAGTTGAGAAGATGCATTTACCTATTATATCGTGATTGATAGAGGAGATTTGAAATAAACCTGATTGATAATTAGCAAGAAAAAAATATTTCGCACTTCATAACGAATCAAATGATAAGTAGATACCGAATAAGAGAGTAAATTCTTAAACACGAAGTTTGAATCTCTAGGTGAATCAGATAACTATTAGAATGTCCCACATTGCTTGGGATTAAGATCTTTGGGAAATATATATAGGATGTGGCAATCCTTAACTCTTGAGCTAGCTTTTGGGTTAAGTTAGACCACATTCCTAATATGGTATCAGAGCCCAAGGTTGACCCAACAAGCAAATTCCCACAAAAATGGTTTCCCACCTATGTGGCCTATATAAGTGGCATGTCTTGTTGTATTTCCGAGATGTTGGGCTTGGGCTGTTTCCCGTTGGACCGTTTCCCACCCACATCTCGAAGAGGCCTATTAGAATGTCGCACATTGCTTCACTACAGGAAAACAAGCCTTTTGCGACTACTTTTTGTGACTCTTTTGTTGGTCGCAAATATTTACGACGATATTGTTACCATATAGTGACTCTTTAACGACTACGTTAAAAGTAGACGCATATTTGTCGCCAATTTACGACGCCAACGATTAGTCTCTGCTTAGTCGCCAATTACCGACCATTTTGCTACGATTTTAAGACCGGTCCAAAAAAGGTCCTAGTTTGCGACTAATTTGGGACGGAAAGAACGGGGTTACAAAACATCATCGCTAAAGGGTCACAATATAGGACTTATTTGTTACTTTTTTTTGTGTCGTCACAAATCCGTCGCAAAGATCTAGTGACTATTTAGCGACTAACACCTGAGACTGGAACTTTTTTCTCACCTATTAGCGACTCCCGATATTTAGATAAACATTTACCATGTTAGATTTTGAATTCTCGTAATATTAGATGTGTTTAGTATGATCTTAACAATTATAGACAGTGAATACATCGTATGCCATACAATTAAAACTTCATGTTTTCTAATGTGATCTCAAATATCTAAAACATTACATAATCATATAAGTAATGTTTACTAAAGCTTTTCACAGATCATAACTCAAATGGATTTCATGGTTTTACTCATTTAATTGATCAATCTTGTTCTATAATCGTAATTTCATTTATTCTCAACACTTAAGATCAATTTATTTGCCTCTTAAACTACAAAATCCTTGACAAATAGTTTGTGACTCTTGAAATATAGTCACAATTCCGTCACTCTTTGCGACTCGCGTTTTAGTGTAGTCACAAATTAGTCTCATATTACCAACGCTCTAGTGACTATTTAGCGACTAACACCTGAGACTGGGACTCTTTTCTCACCTATTAGCGACTCCTGATATTTAGATAAACATTTACCATGTTAGATTTTGAATTCTCGTAATATTAGATGTGTTTAGTATGATCTTAACAATTATAGACAGTGAATACATCGTATGCCATACAAAACTTTATGTTTTCTAATGTGATCTCAAATATCTAAAACATTACATAATCATATAAGTAATGTTTACTAATACTTTTGAAATGTCCTAAATTCATTGAATTTCATGTTTTCTCTAATATAAATGATTGATCTTGTTGTGTATTGTAATATTATTGGTTCTAACACTATAAATTGATTTTCTTTGGTTCTAAAACTTTCAAATTCATAAGAATAGGTTTGTGACCCTTAAGAAAATCGTCACAAAACGGTAACTAATTTGCGACGGAAACTTTTGAGAGTTACAAATAAGTCTTAAATTACCCACATATATGCTACTTATTTGCGACTAACACCTGAATTTGAGACGATTTTGTAACCGTTTAGCGACGCTCACGATTTTATTTTGAGATTTACCAATAGAGATTTCTCAATATGTTAAGTTTCAAGGTTTCTACATTAATTTGAACTATTGTAGGTATTGAATCATTCTAATAGTTTAAGTTTTATATGATTTATAGAAACTTTCATAACATTACATCATGGTATATGTAATGTCAACTAATACTTTTGAAATGTCCTAAATTCATTGAATTTCATGTTAAGTTTTAAGGTTTCTATATTGATTTGAATTACTATAGATACTGAATCATTATTATGCCAAAAAACTTTAAGTTTTCTATGGTTTGCACAAGGTTTTGAACATTACACAAGTGTTATATGTAATGTTACTAATGATTTTGAAATTTCTTAAATTTTTTTGCATTTCATGTTTTAACTCATTAGACTAATTGATCTTGTTTTTGTTTTGTATTGTAATTTTATTGATTATAACATATAGATTTTCTTTGGGTCTTAAGTTTTGTAATTTAAGAAAATAAAATTATGATTCTTAAGAATATGTCATAAAAGACCACTTTGCGACTTATTTGTGACTATTTTTAGTTTTCGTTTCAAACTGAATGAAAATTTTGGCTCGATTTTGAGAGGCAATTTTTCCGCTTTTTTAATTTGGGTTTGAGACTTGGATGGTTTTAGACAAAACCCAAAATCAATCGACACTTTAGTTGTATCCAAAACTTAGGTATTTTTCCCATCTTATCTCTTACTTTTCTCTCCTCTTCCTTCAATCCTCTTCGATTTCCTTCTATTCTCTCTTCGAATTTCTCTCTTCTATCTCAATTGAAACTGATTTTATGGCAAATATGGGAAAATCAAGTCGAGGACGAGGAGGGAGGTCAAGCGAAGAAACAGAAACAACTCCTCATGGCAAAATTATACCGAGAACGCCAGATTTGTGAGATGCGGAAACGCGCCGAGCTTAAAGCGCCGGTGGCTGAGCTTGAATGACCATGGGAGCCGGTTCAGAAACCGCCGAATCTATTCTCTGTTTGTGCTGATGAGCAAGTTAAAACATCAATCAAACACACTTATCGCATCTTAATCTAACTCTTCATGTTTGAGGTTTGTTTTGTTTGTTTTGGTCATCTGGGTAACTTAATGATTCACTCGATTTTTCGGTGGTTGATTGTTAATCTGCGAGCC